TCAGCTTGAGAAGCCGCGATACGTTATCTTTACTCTGCAGACCGGTCGAAAGAATGTCATGTCACAAAATGGCAGCGTGTTCGACGATTATAATTTGAGTAACGTGAAATTTTATTTAAATTCAACGTTTTATCCGTACGACGATTTAAATCTGGATTTTGCCAAAAAGAGGTACGCCGTCCTGTTTGATATGTACGCCCGTTTTCGTAGAGCATATTATGGAATCGATTGCTTCGAGAGCAACGTGCTCTCCATTTACCAAGGAAGGACCTTTTGTGGTCATTGATTGCTCGCGACAAAACGAATCCGTCAAGAGTGCCATACTGTGGACGTACGCATAGAATTTGACTGCAAGAAGAATGTGCCTGCAAATACTACAGCCTATTGTCTCATTATACACGATCGCGTGGTTCAGTACAATCCGTTGACCAACGTTGTGCGCAAAATCACCTAAGTGCATCCTCCGACGCGAAAAATAAAAATCGACGATACATCGCAACCGACCGCAGTCTTCTTCTTCTCGACAACATGTCCCTGCCAACGTTCTTGGATCTGCAAGGATTTATCGTTGGAAAGAAATTTATCGTGAAAGAAGCGGCGGTTCTGAGAAAAGGAGCTATTATCTCTCATTACAACTTTACATGCCCAATGTCATGGAACTGCTTGACAAAATCCGAAAAGTATTGCGCTTCCTGGCTGAGTGCTTATCACCATGGATTGCAATGGGAAGACGGGACGATCCCGTACAGCATGGTGAAACGCCTGATTACGATGGCTGTAATTGGTGTGGAAGAGAATGACGCCACAATAAGGCTTAATTTCTTTCCCTTCCCTGTAATACATGTAGTATATATATGAACGTATGTATGTATAAATGTATGCATAAACGTATGTATAAATATATGTATAAACGTATGTACGTATAAACGTATGTATAAACATATGTACGTATAAACGTATGTATAAACGTAAAAACGTATGTAAGAACGTAAAAAAACGCAAGTACGAACGTAAAAACGTATGTAAGAACGTAAAAAACGTATGTAAGAACGTAAAAAAACGTAAAAAAACGCAAGTATGAACGTAAAAACGTAAAAAAACGCAAGTACGAACGTAAAAATGTATGTAAGAACGTATGTAAGAACGTAAGTACGAACGTGAAAACATAAG